CGTGGGTCTGGAGAGAGATTGTTAGAGTGTCTGAGATGAGAGGGGATAGGGTGGGTACTGAGGGTTCCCCAGGGGAAAGTGGATTTGAGCCAGTTTCTCTCATTCCTTTCATCTTATTTCATAAGCTTCCATGAGGAGTGAACAAAATATGTATTGTAGAAGTGGCTTGTTTGCAGATCCATGGTGGTTGTCATAAGACCAACAGAAAGACTAGTAATAGGAATGATGGCTAATGTGCACTGAGCCTTTTCCAGGAGCCAGGCCCTGTTCTAGGAGATTCACATGGCCTGATTCATTTTCCCCTTACAGCAACTCTAGGAAGAGTAAAAACCAGCAAAGTGAAGCTTTCTGAGTAACAGAGTTGACGCTTGAATCTGGGGTCTGGTGTTCCCCACCATACAGGATCTGTCCTTGATTCCATAGTCAAGTGCAAGGACACCATCAGAGATCACATTACTTCTCATAGTATCATCTATGTGTGTTTATTTAAACAGACTGTATGGTACAGCAATAGATACATCATGACCTGAGCTTTGGAATTCAGCTGAGTCCTCCTCCTCCCCACATCACTAACTAGGCTGTGACAGGGAGATAAGAGTTCATCTCAGGCTACTAAACCCAAGTCCTCTAAACCACTCACCATCTCCCTGATCATCAGGTCCTGCTGGGTCTCCAAACCTCTACAGGTTGTTTCTAATGCCCAGAATGAACTGATGACTCTAGAACAAATTTGTAAGTAACTTCTAATGGTGTTTCTCTTGCTGGGAAATGAAAAAAAAAGGTAAATCTGCTCCACAAGCACCAACTGCACCTGTAAAACAGCAGTGAGCATTCCACGCCACTGTGGGAAACAAAGTGGCTGCTGTGGTTCTGAAGGGAGGGTCAGGAAGGGTGGGAGTCTCTTAGTGTGGACTCTAAAGAACAAGCCGATTAACATGGGCGGAGAGGAGACAGAGGTGGACTACAGACTGTGCTTCTTTATTCAGGACCCAGCACACAGTTGTTGCTCAATATAATTTTGTCAGTTAAACAAAGACAACATCCTCTCTCGGGTCACACAAGACAACATCCTGTCTTGGGATATTTGCTAGTGATAACAGGTGCTCCACACAAGGAAGGAGGGGTGGATCTGGTCAACCAAAGGCACAGACAGAACACACCCAGCTGTGATGGAAGAAGACATGTTGAATGGCGGGAAACAATATTTGGGCAGGTGAGCCTGATTCTACTAGCTAGAAACCAGAAATGGGACAACAAAGAAAAAGGAACATTTCTTCATCGGGGGCTGCATGTGGACCCTCGGGGCAGGGTGTATCAGATGCACACAGATCACAGAGGAATCTCATCAAAATTCAGATCCTGACACAGTAGGGCTAGGTTGCGATCTGAAAGTTTGCATTTCTAAAAAGCTCCTGGTGAACTTCTCTTGGCAGTCTAGTGGTTAAGACGCGGCCTCCCAATGCAGAGGTGTGGGTTAGGTTCTTGATGAGCAAACTAAGATCCCAGGTGCCTCATGGCCAAATAACCAAAGCATAAAACAGAAACAATATTGTAACAAATTCAATAAAGAATTTTTTTAANCATCTTAAAAAAAAAAAAAAAACAGAAGCTGAGTGCTGATGCTGCTGGATCACACTTTGAGTAGCAAGTCCTATAGAGTCGACAACAGGTTTCAGAGTTCTGTGAATTCTTTACAATCATTTGCAAAATATTATATTCTGTACACGTGCATTTTTTAGTAGCAAGATCATAGTTTTCATTAGACTCTCAAACGGTCTATTTTGGATTGAATGTGTTCCCCCAAAAGATAGGTTATGGTTCTAACCCTAGTACCTGTGATTGTGACCTTCTTTGGAAATCAGGACTTTGCTGATGCCACCAAGTTAAGATGAGGTCATTAGGGTGGACTCCCATCCAACGTGACTAAGGTCCTTATAAGACAGAAACATGGACACAAACACAGAGGGTAGAGACTGATCCACTGGTAAGTCAACAAATGCCAGAACTGCTAATAAATACTAGAGGCTAGGGAGAGACAAGGAAGAAATCTCCCTGACAAGTTTTCAGACAGCCTGGCCTTGCCAACACCTTGATCTTGGACTTTAAGCCTCCAGAAGTGTAAGACAGTAAATTGTAAATTTCAGTGTTTTAAGCCATCCAGTTATTTGTGATACTTTGTTATGGCAGCCCTGGGAAACTAACACAGGGTCTGAGATACACACACACACACACACACACACACAAACACACACACACAGAGTGATTAATTATCATAAAGATACAAGAAGTCGCTGACGACTTGGGGACTAATATTTGCAGCCGTAACTAGCAACTTACAACTGCTGCACTTCCCACTTGTGTTTTCTTCATTTCTTAAACCTTGAAGATGACTTCTTTCCTAATCAGATTTTTCTCTGGGCTTCCCAGCTTTTCCTCCTTCAGTTTGCAGGAAGACACTTATTCTTTCTGGACTTCCAGACCTGAAGAGCCTGCTATTTCCTTCTTGGCATAGTACATGGAGAAGTTGAAGGTGCAGTGTTTCTTCCTCTGCCAGGTCCTTGCTCTGCAAAGGTTTGTCTTTCTCTTGGTCCACACAACCTTGCGCTCCTTCTTTTTTCTCCTCCTTCCTTGGCTGTGAGGAGAGAGACAGCCTTCCCTCATTGAGGAGTAGATTTAAACCCGGAGGTATTCTGCCCCATGCCTTAGCTGGACATCCAGGCTCTCTGGATCAGGGGCCAAGATTCCAATAACTTGTTGTGTTTCCACAGAAATTGCCTCTGTTTCCAGGATGCTCCCGGTCCTTCACCATGTCTGGGCTCTTAGGAACTCTGTTCCCCACATCTTTAATTAGAGTAGCCGTTGGTACCATTAGCACTTCTGCTATGGGAGAAGAGAAAGCAGATAGAGAACTAGCCCTTACTATTCTGCATGTGGTTTTATATACATTTTTCCTCTTAACTCTCACATTCACACTTACACACTCAAAGCGAGAATGGGTATCAGCACACCATTGATCTCATCTTCCAAATTAAGACACCAAGTCACAGGGCTCGAAAGGAACAGAAGCAAGATTCCAATACAGCTCTAACTGTTCGAAAGCACGCAATCTCCTCACCACTCTAAACTGCCTGTCTGAGGCTGAGTTAAACAGCTAAATCAGGGAAATATATAAAACCAGTCAGGCTCAATTCTGTTGTTCTGGCATATTGTCTTTAAGACAAATATTTTGGTGTCATGTAAACACAAGCGCATCTGTCTGCCTGCTTGCTATCTGTCTGATCCACTTACTCTCTATGATGCAAAAATAACCACCATCAGCTATTCAACAGACAAGACAACCGAAGCGGCACTTCTCCACTGGTTGTTATAGACACAGTCAGAGCTTTAGCTTTCCAACAATAATCCCCAACTCTGAATTTGCAACACCCCAGGGCATTTCCCACCACTCTGGGATTTTGAAAGATTCTTAAAAATCCTCAGAACCAAATTAGTCAGCACACTAGTTAGAGTCAGCATACTCTAAGAAATAAACAGATTCTTAAGAGCAGACTTTTCAGAAGGCAGGGGTAAGGCTGTGTGGTGGAGCCCAGCCGTGGTAAGAGCTGCTATGAAGAACACAAGGTGTGTGACTCAGTTTCCCACTTTCTTACTCAGGTAGTCTTTTCCCCCCAAAAAAGATGAACATGTCATTTTTGTTTATAAATAGGCATGAAGATCTATTTAAAAATAGGCATAAAAATAAACCATAAAAATAGGCATTTTTATGAAATGAGAATGTATGAGAAAAAAAATACCCCAAAAAGCTTCAAAGATTTCTGGGTAAAAGGTAAAAGGACATGGAGCTAATTTTTTCTCAGTTTTAATATTTTTATATATTTTAAAATATTTATATATTTTTGCAGTATATCTGATTTATAAGGTTGTGTTAATTTCTGCTGTATAGCAAAGTGATTCAATTCTACATATATATACATTCTTTCTTCATATTCTTTTCCATCGTGGTTTATTGTTAGTCACTCAGTCATGTCTGACTCTGCTGCGATCCCATGGACTATAGCCCACCAGCCTCCTCTGTCCATGGAATTATCCAGGCAAGAATACTGGAGTGGGCAGCCATTCCCTTCTCCAGGGGATCTTCCCCACTCAGGGATTGAACCTGGGTCTCCTGCATTGCAGGCAGATTCTTTACTGAGTTACCAGGGAAGCCTTTATGGTTTATTACAGGATATTGAATATCATTCCCTGTGCTGTACAGTAGGACCTTGTTGTTTATCCATTCTATATATAAAAGCTTACTTCTGCTAATCTCAACCTGCCATTCATGGAACTAACTTTGTTTGGAGAAAGGGAAGCCGAAAAGAAAGGTTGCTGGTTATGTTTGAGAGGGACATATAAACAGCACATCTTCCCCCTCCTCACCTGTGGCAGACACAACTCACTAATGACAGAACTTTATCAGGGAGCCAGAATTGAGCCTCAGAATCCTTCTCAACACAGCTCTCTAGGGAAGCACATGAAATCCATGCCAATCACATGAAATCCATTATTCGTTGATGTGTATCAGTCTACTGAAACACACTATCACATTATGAAGCACAAATAGGATGGTAGAGCAAGTACCCAGACCCTATCTCTTCTCTTTTTACTTTGCCTGAAATCCTCTAATTTCTTTCTTCGTGACTTCTAGATAAATCTATCCTTCTCAAATTGTTCTGAAGTTGTGTTCATTTTTACCACTGGGTTTCCACCACCCACCCTCCCTCTCATAGGTGTGTAATATAGCTAAAGTGGCATTTAAGAGAAATGGTCTCAGGCTGAGAGTCTGAAGACCTCAGTTTGAATCCAGTTCTCTACCTCTAGGTGAGTTGATTTCCTCATCTATAAAATAAGAAAATACTTAGAGCACCTCTTCATATTGTTTTTATGAATATCAAATGAAATAATGGAAGACTTCACACAATACCCAGATAAATAGACATTTAATAAATGTTAACTAATCTGAGGAAACAGGAGACATAGCTATTTCAAGATAAATTCCCCATCATGGTTGAAAGAGCACCCTGATTCACCATATTACTTATGTTGAACACTCTTGAAATCTAGAATCAGCTGGGATCTCCCTGTCCCTTGAGATTTAGCTAAAATTAACCAGAGCACCACCCTGCAAAGCATACCCATTAGAATTCCAGAGCCTTTCCTGTGAATTCCAGGGGCTCACATTCTCAGGACCACCTTTCCATCCTGGGCTTCTATGACCTCACATGTAGACTCTGCTCAGAAACTTCTCAGCCCAGAGACAGAACTTAGCTCCTTCCTCATCTACAAAAAAAAAGAAGAAAAAAAAAGTGTATGTGTGTGTTTTGGGGAGAGAGCTTTTGGGAACAGAGAAGCCCTCTTCTCCTCCAGTTTGTCACTGACATCAGCTACAGCCCCCAGGGATGTGACTATTCATCTTCTGTCTACAGAAGTCAGTTATCACACCCATCCTACAGCAGCAGTTCCCATCTTTTTGGCACCAGGGACTGGTTTCATGGAAGAAAAAATTTTTTCCATGAACCAGGGCAGGGTTGAGGAAGGGAAAGTTTCGGGATGATTCTCATAAGGAGCACACAACCTAGATCCCTCATATACACAGTTCACAGGAGAGTTCACGTTCCCATGAGAATCTAATGCTGCCTCTGATCTGACAGGCAGTCTAATCCGACCACTCAGGCAATAATGTGAGTGATACGGAGTGGCTGTAAATACAGATGAATCTTTGTTTGCTCACCTGCTACTCACCTATTGATACAGTCCTAACAGGCCACAGATCAGCACCAGACCTAGTATGGCTACCAATTACTGAATATTATGTAAATACTGACACTCTATACTTTCATACACATTGGCTAGTCCCTGAGCAGTTCTGAGAGTTAGAAGTCAGCATTTGGGCACCAGAACACATCCCAACCCCAGAAATATAAAGACCAGAACCTCAACTTCATTAGCTCATTCTCTGACCCATGCAAGCTGAGATCAACACAACCCTTAAAGGGCCAGATAAGAGTAACTCTCATGTCCTCTTTAAGATTTCCATGAAACTCTGTACAATCTATCTTCTCAGGGTGCTTCCTGGCTCTATGCTTCTGTTTTTGCTGAATTAGTTCTATCAGTGAGTCATTTCTCTGACTAATGTGTGTTGGTGGAGAATGGAAGTCAATCTCTTTCTCTGATGTTTACAAAAAAAACATTCCCTTAAGTCTTGGTCTGTGAATCAGACATCATTAAGCGTTTGAACAAACTAAGATGATATACTACAGAACGAGAAATGAAATTTCAGACATCTCTATTTCTTTCAGGCTCCAATCCTGGCCACCTCACCCCATCCAGAGACCTGAATGCTGTCAGATTCAGAGTTCTGTTTCTCCACTCTCACCCTCGACATTTTCCACTCATCGCTGCCTCCCTCTCCAATTGTGCCCAGGAATTTCATGTCCAAACAAGGTACTTTTCCTTCTATTGTACAGGTCAGTAGCTCTCAAACTTGATTGTGTATCAGAATCAACCAAAGAGCTTATAAAACATATTTATTGGCCTCATCGCAGAATTCCTGGTTTGGTAGGTCTGGGAAAGGGCCTGAGAAGTTGTATTTCTAAACAAGTTTCTGAGTAATGCTGGTCTGGGAACTACACAGTGGTATACATTACACTTCCCTCCAGCCCATATAGGGTTTTACAGTGGTAAAGAACCCACCTGCCACCCAGGTTCCATCCCTGGATCAGGAAGCTCCCACGGAGAAGGAAATGGAAACCCACTCCAGTATTCTTGACCAGGGAATCCCATGAAGAGCCCTTAAACTTGTCTCTGGGTTTACTTTTGCTCATCAGCTGTTAAGAAAAAGTCACCATGCAGTAAGCTACCCAAAGAATACTCATCAGCATCCAGAAATCACTTACTATATAAGATAGTTATGGATTTAACTACAATCCCTTCTCCCTCCAATGCATTTGGGAGGCAGTGTAAGTTAGTGTGACTGGTTCAGAGCTGACTCTGCCTACAATTACTTGTGTGACCTTGGGCCATGTTACTTAACCACTGAACCTACTTTCCTCACCTGTAAAACTGTCGATGATAATGCTTACTTATTAGGATTGTTTGAGCATTAACAGAGATAGCACGTGCATACTGTTAACCAGTTTCTGAGCATGTATAAAATATTCTATACATGTTGGTTATTTCTCATGTATTCCACAGACCTTGACCAAGCCCTGCTATACTTCAGACACCCTGCTAGTCACTGGGATGAAAGATGAAACCACCTAATAAGAAAAAGGAAGAACAGTAAACCAACACAAGCTCTCAGATTTATGCAGGAGAGGAGCTCTTGAAGGGCTCTGATAATTCAAAACTAATTCCTCTTAGAAATAAATGTAAAATGGGAGACATATTCTAGGGGCACATAAATCCACTAACATTGTAGAATAATGTACTCTAATGCTGTTTTTTATTTTCTTAGCATTAGCTCTAATACCTCGCAGAGGGCTTGTTTTAGTATTAATAGCATATCATTGCAGTTGTTGGGGCCGCCTGGCCATATTTTATCACCTCTAACTTCTATTCCGAAGTTATTGATCTTTCTGGTACCTTTTTCATCACTTGTACAAACATCACCTAATGAATGCTTGGATGACTTCGCTAAATTATAACAACTGAATGTTAAAATAACAGGACAATAGTCACCAAAAACCACGCAGGGAAGTTCAGGTGCCTGGAAACAACTGAACGGTCTCAAAAGGTTGACGCCATAGACCAGCCAAGATGGCGCCGCCCTGTGGCGCCGCGAAAACGCAGCAGCGCTGCTCATTTCCCGATTCCCAGCGTCCTCCATTCCCTGATAGGCACTTTCGGCTTTCATCGCTGCTTTTCATTTGAGGGGAGTTGCATTACTTTGCATTTTGTGCATAAAGTGAAATTGGAGTCTCTAGGTTGCACTGTTTCGAGTCTATCATTCAGATGCCCATGAAATGTGTGTGCCCAGAATCGCAAAGGTCTGATGCAGGCGGTGGGAGGTGCTCAGGTTGCACTGATGATCTGCTCCCCTCATGGGCAGCTCCATCTTCCATTCCCACAGCTGCGTTTTCTCTTCCAGATGTGTGCTCATCAGACAAGCCCCCTTCCTGCCAAAATAAAAGCAATGATCCTAGGGGGTACATTTTGTCACCAGCTATAGTCTGGGGCCAACATCTAGCTTCTGTGGTTGAGAAAGTCCATCCCACGGGAATCCGTGGACATTAAAGAGAAACGTATCCTTCCAAACACCTAACTGTAATGAAAGTATTGAAATCAGTTAACACTTTCCTGGTTTAAACACAGCTGGCTTGACACTTCTAAAAGAAATAGAATCTCTGTGTATGTTTTGAATATAAATTTAGGGATATGATCCAGAAAATTGTCCATTATTTAGTAACTAAAATTAGAATAAATCAAGTAGGACTCAAAAGTTACATTTTAGGAAAGTTAGCATCTGCCTTCTCCTGATATTTTATATTTTTCTTTAGTAGTGATATTTCAAAAAAGAGAAATGCTTTCTAACATTAGTTACTCCAAGCATATTTAAGATATGGTAAAAAAGAAAATTACTTACTAAAGGCCCTGACTGTGAAGATGTATGGTATGGAGCTAACACTGAGTGATTCCTGATGCTCTAGACTTTTGGGGGAATATCTGATGTCCAGTTAAGGATATTCAACAATAGTATGTGGCAGAAAAATTATTGAGCCATCTGTGGCTTATTTGCATTGTATCTTTCCTCCTCATTCCACCAAAAAAAAAAAAAAAAGAGGCTGATTTTTTTTGTTGTTGCTGTTGTTCTCTTGTCTCAGGGCAGAAAACTGAAGTCAACTGAAAAGTTTCTGCTTCAGGCTTATGTTCTGAAAGCTGAAACTCTTTTGGGCTTCCTTGATAGCTCAGCTGGTAAAGAATCCACCTGCAATGTAGAAGACCTGGGTAGGGAAGATACCCTGGAGAAGGATAGGCTACCCACTCCAGTATTTTTGGGCTTCCCTTGTGGCTCAGCTGGTAAAAAATCCACCTGCAAGTCAGACATGACTGAGCAACTTTCACTTTTCTTTCACTCATGTCCCCAAAGGCTAGAAGCTGCTACCCCTGGGGGTGGCAAGAAGAAATAGCAAGAGTGCTCCAAAAGTCACAACTTTCTGAGGTTTTCCTTTCATGTAATATATTAACATGACTGTTTTAAGAAAATTATGAAAAGGTGCTTCACTGTGCAGGTAAAATATGCCATGAAAGTGACAATGGTCAGATATCAAAGCCAGGGGGAAAACAGTCTCAGAGAAGAGCTTCTCAGGTTTGTCAGCTTACCCTCCCCTGCCCACCAGGCTGTGGAGGCTCCACTGGGTGCTCAGTGCTGCCGAGAGCCTCAGCCAGTGCCTGCCCCAGTGTTAGAGTTTGGCCAGGCCACTGAGTAGAGTTGAAAGAAGTCGGATGGGACCCAGGCATTTCTATGGAGAGCACTGGCCTGGTTAGCAGCTGAGGCGCTGCCTTTGAGCAGCCACAAGGGCCTAGGTACTGAGCATCTCAGTAGCAGTTTGAGCACTGATGATAAAATCCCTGCTCACATGTTCTATTTTTTATTTTTTAATTTATTTTAGTTGGAGGATAATTACTTTACAATATTCTAGTGGTTTTTGCCATACATTGATATGAATCAGCCATGGGTGTGCATGTGTCACCCATCCTGAGCCCCCCTCCCAGCTCCCTCCCCATCCCATCCCTCAGGGTCATCCCAGTGCACCAGCCCTGAGCACCCTGTCTCATGCATCCAACCTGGACTGGAGACCTGCTTCATATATGATAATAAAAATCCCTGCTCGTATGTTCTAAACCAGGCAAGAAGCCTCCCACTTTGAACCCTGGCAGTCTGGGAGCAATGCCTACACATTTAACCATCATCTCCTTATGAGGCATCACATATGACTAACCCTGGTCATCTTTCTTAGGAGGGATTGGGGCTCGTATTATGGTAGCAGCTGAGGCGCTGCCTTTGAGCAGCCACAAGGGCCTAGGTACTGAGCATCTCAGTAGCAGTTTGAGCACTGATGATAAAATCCCTGCTCACATGTTCTATTTTTTATTTTTTAATTTATTTTAGTTGGAGGATAATTACTTTACAATATTCTAGTGGTTTTTGCCATACATTGATATGAATCAGCCATGGGTGTACATGTGTCACCCATCCTGAACCCCCCTCCCACCTCCCTCCCCATCCCATCCCTCAGGGTCATCCCAGTGCACCAGCCCTGAGCACCCTGTCTCATGCATCCAACCTGGACTGGAGACCTGCTTCATATATGATAATAAAAATCCCTGCTCGTATGTTCTAAACCAGGCAAGAAGCCTCCCACTTTGAACCCTGGCAGTCTGGGAGCAATGCCTACACATTTAACCATCATCTCCTTATGAGGCATCACATATGACTAACCCTGGTCATCTTTCTTAGGAGGGATTGGGGCTCGTATTATGGACTATTAATATAACTAGAGATTATCATACTAAGTGAAGCCAAGAAGAGAAAGACAAATACCATATGATATCATTTATATGTGGAATCTAAAATATGACAAAAATAAATCTACCTATGATACAGAATCACAGAAATAGAGAACAGGCTAGTGGTTGCCAGGGGGAGTGGGCTGAGGGAGGAATAGAGTGAGAGGCTGGGGTTAGCAGAGGTAACCTTTTATATATAGAATGGATAGACAGCAAGATCCTACTGCATAGCACAGAGAACTATATTCAATATCGTGTGTTAATCCATAGTGGAAAAGAATTTTTTTTAAGTGTATAGGCATATGTATAACTGAATCACTTTGCTGTATAGCAGTGATGAACACAACATTGTAAATCAATTATACTTCAATTAATAAATATTTTGGTGGAAAAAAAACTAAGGTTAAATAAAGACATTCTAAGGAAAAAAAAAAGATTCTCAACATATCCAAAATGGTGAGGCTGATTAACCCCAGACCAGAGGCCAAAGGCAAGTACAGTTTACAACTGTCAGATGTTTCAGATACTGGTGATAAACTGTGTGCTTAGAGAATCTAAATTATATTGTTAAATGATTAATTTGAGAACATTTGATGGTTGCTCACTCCTCAAGCATTTACCTGAACTCATCATGTGCTAAGTACTATGCAAAATGTTACTCCTAACAGTATAGAAAAAAATTTCTGTTCCTGCCCTCAAAATGTTCCCGGTCTAATTCAGGAATCAAACGAAAATTCAACAGAACCTAGAAAGTGCTCTAGAGTGGTACACATATATTTCCATGGGAACTTATTAGGAGCAAGAGGGCCAAAGATGGACTAATTCACTGAGTTTGGGAGCCTAAAAATGAATTCCTGGGTTTTATTTCAACCAAACTGGAAGCAATATACCTTTCCTTCTTGTTTTAGTTTCAGTCTTTTTGGAATTTTCTCAGCAAAACTGGTCTTTCTCTAGATTAAGAGTTCATGAGGCTTTTAATGGGTTTTAAAGAATTAGTGAAACAGAAAGGAGATTTGTCACTTTGTGCTCCTTCTAAATAGCTTGAAAATTGTCTCTGGAAAAAAACTGTCAGATTTTGTTCTGAAGAAATTGTTTCATACCACACAAGTGTAGAGTGACATAGATACTACTCTACTTCATCAGGTAACAAATTAGTCATCATCACTGAAGTTCTTTCCTGTTGATATGTATTTTAGATGTAAACTTCTATTATGATTATGAGCATCAATCCTTAGTATATGGCCTGGGTTAGGTTGGAAAGCATCAAAAAATAAATAAAACAGAAGAAAATGTTTCCTTGGGTTTCATCCCAAATATAATGGAAAACCAAAACATAGTCCTTCTTGTATAGTGACTTTCTTGCTTAGTAGAAGCATAAAACTAGCAAAATCAAAGGAATAATTGGCATCAGTCTACCTTGGGAATGTCTGATCCAGAATGGATTGTTTTCATGAGAAGATAAGTAAACTCAAAGGAAAAAAAAAGAAAAGAACCAGAGAAATTTATTCTAACTCAATAAAACAGACTTAGAGCATCCTGAAATAATGCTTTTCTCATGACCATGCAAAAGAAGCCTTGAAACTGGGCAGATCTTGGAGTGATTTGCCCTAAAGCATCAAGTGGATATGTAGTCTGAGAAGAAAAAAACACTGAAGCAGTGCCTTTGACAAAAAGTATTGTCCTACCAAGAGTCACCAGATTTTCTTGTTCTAAAAGGTCTCAGGGGACTCTGAGGCCCTTCAGCATGCAAATGTGTATGTGGATGGTTCCGAGAGAGCCAACTTCTCATTTTCCTATTACATGCAGATGTCTATTTGGAAAGCCCTCTCAGAAGCATCAGATGCTTAGGACAACTTTGAAATAATTTAAATTTTCTTTGCCAAGCCAAACTTTGGAAGAAAAATGTTGGTGCCATAGATAGAGATGGACACACAGCTGTTTCACAAAGCCTCAGCTTTCCTATGTTACTGGAAAAAACTCCACACATCAGATTGACCTCTTGTTTTCTGCAGCCATGTGATGGGAACAGTAATTCTGAAATAAGTCATGTCTGCTTCAACTCTGAGTCAGGACCTTGAAACATGCCCTCACAATAGGATTTGTCAAGAAATTAAAGGCTGAAGTTCACTGGCTTTCTAAAGTACAAGTTTTGAAGCAATTGATTAACTTCAGGCAGAAGGCTTTACCTTTCTTAAGTGACCAGCAAAGCACAGTCTCAGGCTGACTTGACACAGAAGAGCTCATTCATGATTTG